CGGTAAATTAACGGAGTTACAACGCTAAAATCCGAATCTGGATTCCTCATGGTGGACACAGCAGAGAGCCCAATGTAGCTTTGCTCTGAAACACACAAATAAACAAACAACTTGATGATTGAGAATGTCTAATCGAAAGTTAGGCAATTGTATGCTGTGGAACTTTGGCAAAATTAAACCTTTAATAAGCTTATTGTCTAAAAAAAACGTGCATTCAGTACTATTATAAACATTGAATAACCTGATGTTTTGAATACCTTCACATAACACACTATTATTATCATTAACAACAGCCCTCCAGTAGCATAGCGGTATATCTGCGGAATTACAACGCTAGAAACCGAGTTTCAATACCCGTGGTGGGCAGAACACAGATAGCCCATTGTGTAGCTTTGTGCTTAATTACAAACATTGGTAATGTGTAGAACAGCTGAGTTACCACCAACAGCAAATATTTTATCTGTATATAACTTCCGCCCGCTTTCTGGTGATCTTCTACGAAATATGTCATCTTTCCCCATTCAAATTTTATATGTATTGTCCAAGGTTAGTTTACCAGGAACAACTTTTTCGGTTAAAATTCTCAGTACAAAATTCGAAAACTAGTCTGAAACATAATAATACGAAATGTTAAAGTTAACATAATTTTCACTTAGTATTCTACCATAAAGTAGTGCGTTTGTTGTGAAATAGTTAGGCTTAAAATCAGTTTGAAAAGAGACTATTAGCAAAACGTGATTGGTGTTTTTATGGAGGAATATAGAAATAAGACTGTAGATATAAATAAATTGTTCCTAAAATGGAAAGTGAAAGTCATTTGTAATATATTTATAGTTTAGTGTAAACACATTTTAAAAACATTGAGCAATTATTCAAGATCAAGATTTTTACTCACTTGATTTCCCCAGGAGAATATCTTCTCCTTTCATCATAAATACCTGCAATACTTTCAGGTTCACTGATTTACCTGTAGGTAGTTGGGCAGGAGTCACATCATAATGGAAGTTTATCAGGAAAAGCTTTTGTGGAGCAAAATCTGAGTTCTCTCAAACTCGGCTGAGTTTGAAGAAATAAAAAAAAAAGAGAGAGAGACAGAACACAACGTGCCACATAGTGAAACAATTTTTATTTCTAATATACAAACACAATTAGAGCTTAAAAGCAAGTGTATTTTAGCACGAATGTGCTTGTTTTACATCAAATCAGTACCAACAATAGTCAAATAAATGTTTCTCTCACTCATCTTATTCCAGACTCAGAAGACATTCTTCTCAGGAAACAGACGCCACCCACATGACTGTTGACCACTCACACTACAGAACAAGGGATGTTATATTCCTCGGTCATCACCTGACTTGCTAGTGGAGAAAACCACTGTCACTTTTTAAGTTCTATGTTACAGCAATCTTTCCAACTAGAAGGTACACGTAACACCGTAATTTAATGATCTATTTCAATTAGCAACTTGGGAGAGAGGAGCTTAATGGTCTCCTTGACCTACATTCTGTATTAAGAATGTATGCTTAATATGAACAGAATATTTAAACTTATACATATTCATATATTAAATAAGTAACAAAATAGTTTGTTTGCATACAACATAACAGTGGGAGCTAATGAACCATTAAATGAACAATTAAAAATTGCATTATATTCTTAATGGTTTGATAAATAGATAAAGAACACGAAGTTTTACTTTACAGCGAAGTATTCATTTTATTTTCTTCATCTGTAGCTGTTCTTAGTCTTGAATAATTCAGATATCTATGTTAGCTTATTTAAATTCAAGAAGTGTTCGCCATAAAAATAACCCATTTTGTACATGAATAGTGGTAAATGCTTTAGAATCAAGGGATTAAAAACAAGTTTGTCAGTGTCTTCAGGTCGTTTAGTAGAAGAAAACAATCTATCTATATAACCAGGCTGAGGAACCAGGTATGTAGGTAGAATAAATATATATGTATATATATATATATTGAAAATTTATAAAAATTTTCAACTTTTTTTTCTTTACTTTGACTGTCATTTCACATGAAATATTAAATAGTAAATATTATGCCTTATAAATAAAATGTACATATCAGAAAGAAAAAAAATACAACATTATTGTAAATTCTTCGAAAACTATACAACTGAGAAACTATAATATTTTTAAACAGATTAAGGAATGTTACTACTATTATGTAGGGTGTATTTAAGTACTATTTGGTATTAGGTAAACGAACTATTATTGTTCTGAAAGAAAAATTAGTATGACTGTCAAAAATATTGAGAAAAACAGAACCACTGTTGATTTTCAGTCTACATTTAAATAATATGTTTGGGTATCAGATACTATATTCTAATTAAGTACGACGTATGATTGTAATATTGTAATTTATAATTTCAAACACATTAAATCACAAATGTATCTTTATGTTAAAATAAATGCATTGAAATTTAAACATTTTTCCCAAACGAACTATCATAAAATTTAGGCATCAGTTAGTATCATTTGGATAATAATTATTACCCATTAAGATACAAACTCTTTCTTTCTCTACTCTACGGTTAAAACTAACCAAGATATTATAAATGCACGAACTAATGAAACATTTTACATTTTTCTTATTAAGAGCTCTAAAATTAAGAAATTCGATTCGAATAACGATAACTTTAACTATTTATTCTAAGGAACTTTCCTACAGAGAGCAGTAAAGTAAAATTAGTGTACTTAAAAAAGAATTTCTTGGAAAAAGCACAATTACTTTAATACTATAAGACATCTAGGAGTTTTGAATACAATTTATCATCCTTAGTTTGAATTATTAAGACCAGAACTTAGTTCAATAAAATGACTATTTTTTATGAAAGATTTTACTAAAATAATAATAAAGCAAAATGTAGTTGGATTTTTTACAAACTTTAGGAAGTTCATCCCAGTATGACATGATAACATTAAATAAGTTTAGAAATGAATTTTTAAAAACTTTAGTAATGTTAATTACACCTTGTTCGTCAATTAGTTGTTAATTTGAAGTGCATTTAATAATTCATATTATTTACAAAATTGACACCTACTTTAAGTAATATTAATAATAAATAACTTCATGTCAAAAATAATAATAATTCGATGTTAATAAAAAATCAGAAACCTAATTATGGTGAATAATCACTTAAATATAATCAACATAACTAAGCTCACACCGAAACAGTTGTTGATTAAGTAATAGATGCTATTAATGGCATCATGACCACTACTATATCTCTCGTATTCTAATCAGCTTGAAGATATTTGCATATTTGGTAAAATACCTCGTTGACACTGTACACTGCAGACATAGTGTGGTTGACTTTCATTCATATGCTATTATTAGTATGTACATTTTACTTTTCCCATATTTTGGTTGATGAGAATCGAACATATTTCACATGTACGACGAGTTTTGTTTTTTTATGAAGCTAACATGCACACATCTTTTAATTTCTACATTTTCAACACAAAACACATCAAATTGGAATATTATCTGGACATTTCCTGTGTTGTATTAGAATATTCATTAGATGGTGAGAAAGCTAACCATCTAGTGTATAGTAATCACCACGAAATATCTAACCAACTGCTAGATTGGTTTTTGCACGGTCCTTCCATACTTATCTCTGCACATTTGACAACAAATAATATCAATGGCAGACATGTTTGAATCTTGGAGAATAACATTTGTACACGTCATTCAGCAAATGGTATCATAATATCTCTTCTTTTATATCCTTTGTGACGAATTTAGTATCATATATCTATTTAATATCGATGTTTAAATTAAATTCATATGTAGAAATGTACATAACTTATACTGTTAAATCTGTATTGTGAAATTCTCGCCTATTCAGTAAAGTGTAGAATATTCTCGAGTGTAAGAATCAACAATATATGTGTGTACGTAAACACTGGTGTATCGATTATATTGTTTGTTGCGTGAGCTGAAATTTCGAGAAACTCTCCACACGCCTATAAATATAACCAACGTGACGCGCCAACAGACAGTATATATTATTGGTTTGCTATAGTTAGGGCTATAAATCTGCCATTATTAATCTTAATAGAACGTTCGGCAAAACGCACGTTAAACAGTAAAGATTTTGATCGACTAAAAGTAAACGCGAACGTTTCAAAACTGGTATTCATATAAATTTCTTGTTCCCTAATAGTACACCTAGGCTTTATTTCAAATTACTTTACACGGTATTATGAATTTACTTAACTTCCCCTTATGTGGGATAAAATGGCAGTGAAGAAAGAAAAATAGAAGCTCAGGATTGTATTTTCCACTGATGTCATAATTTTGGTAAATAGGCTTATTCCTATAAATTAGAAATTTGAACATTTTAACTAAAAACTGTGGAGAATATTGAATTACTTCCTGTAGCTCATCATATTGTATATAAATTACATTATTTACATTACATTTACATAATAACGTTAGTGTTGATAGCATATATTGGAAAAAAGTTTATTAAGCAACCATGAATATACTATGTTTGAAATATATATAATATGCTTCATTCACCAGTATCAGTTTGGAAAATACCTCCAACTACTACAGGTGGAAGACGTTTATTTCGTTATTCAGAGCAATGCATTTTTGACAACATAAATGTTTGTTTTGACATCTGGTTTTTCCAAAGACGATCGCATATAATGGAATACATATCTGATATTCTAATTAAAGGGAGTAGAAAACACACAACAAAATTCAAAATGTCGTACGTTTTGAAGTTTATAGTTGAAGCTTCTCACTTTAAGGAATTAACTCTTTTTTTTTTACTTACGGTTAAGAAACAAAACAAAAAGCCATTAATAATTCAGAGTAAATTTGAAATTGAAATCTACATTTTGAAATATATTGTGAGAAAAGTGTTTGACTGAAAATCATATAACCTACTTCTTATTTTATAATACGTTGTCGAATTAAAAGTCCAAGAAGAGTACATTTGGAAAATTTATACGTACATAAGAATTTTACTTGGAATATTTTCAATATCATGATACACACAGAAACAGCATGATATAATAAATACCTAATATTTTTCTAGTTTCAAAGTTTCTTAAATGGTGAGATACATTTTTTATCGCGTACAGATTTTCATACAAATTAATTACATTTTACAGTTCAATAGTTGGTAACTTTGTCAAAGTTTGAAGAGTGAAATGCTTAAATATATTTTTAATGACTCTACTTTTAGATTTACCAGTATTAGTAATGGTTTATTTACGTGTATTAGCAACATAAGATAATCATTCATATTTCTTGGGATCAAACAGCTGTGTTGTTGTGTCCACTGAAATCATATTGGAATCGTTGGGTTATTCTCCGAAAAGTTAATCTTTTCTCCACACGACAATGTACTAGATCCATTATCGAATGCCGAAACTTTCTGGAGAGAAAGGCGTACAGAATCGGATTTATACCCGAGTTGAGGTATAATATCAAATTTGTGACGATGGTAAAGATGGCTGATGAAGAACTACCACCTTGATAGTTAGGTGACCAGTACTGCCAAAATTTTCTCGCATGAAATGGCAGGTTACAGAGCATAAACGTAAATACAACAGCCACTAGTAACCGTATCACTTTTCGTCGAGCTTTAATGACTGGTGTGTTAGCATTCTGCTGCGAATTTCTTCTGAGAATTAAAGTTCTCGTTCTTTTTCGCCAGTTTCTAGATCTCGGTAATTCCTTATGTAAAACTATTGTTGAATTTTCAGCCTTTAAACTGTCAGCATCTTCCTTTCTTTCCATTACTGAGGAAACCGTACTGTTATTTTGTATTGCCTTACTAAATGTTCTCAATCGCATCTCATCTGGTTGTTTCGGCATCTGGTTTTTCCAAAGACGAACGCATATAATGGAATACATAACTGATATTATAATTAACGGGAGAAGAAAACACACAACAAAATTCACAATGTCGTACGTTTTGGAGTTGTACAAGGCTCGTTTCATATGACAGATGACAAAATATTCACCCTTAAGTGGCACAACAGATGTTCCAAACATGAAAAGTCGCGGAGAACAATATACAGCACTCACTAACCACACAATAATGATAACAAAACGCAACCGTCGTAGAGTGATAATGCGTTTTTTCCACATTGGAAGCACAATGGCTATGTATCGCTCTATGCAAATCACTGTCAAAATACCAATGGAAGTAGTATAGCTCAGACTTTGTACAAAATGATACATTTTACACAAAAAATTTCCAAGGGACCAACTCGTTGTTAAGTAGTTGTACAAGTTTTGATACACACAGAACAATCCAACACATAAGTCAGCTACAGCAAGGTTTACCAAAAAGAAGTTCGTGACTGTGCGCATCCGTTTATGAAATGCTACTATCAAAATTACCAACAAATTACCTGTAAGGAAACAATCCAAATGATTATTATAATGAGAAAATACCATCTAAACAGTTATATCAATGAAATTAAAATTACATTTTGTGATAAAATAAAATATAAAGTCTAAAGCAATTCTGAATAATTTTCAAAATTAACACCACTAGTAATAGCAGAGCATGAGCTATAGTAATGACTAAGTATGAAAGCATTGTGTTTTCCTCTTAAATTTTGTATCTATATATTATTATAACATATGAGATGGAATGTACAGATTAGTGCTTATCCTTTACAACTTAAAATATTTAATTAAATCTTGATAGCAATTCAGATGGACTGTTTTTTTCTTTTTCTACAGGCGTTAATAAAGTATTATTTATTTATTTACTATTGAATAAAAATTTAGTTTTAGGGAAACATCTAAGTAACATAAAAATTCATATAAGATACTTTTAATTTCTCTTAACTGTTTCATTGACATGCTTATAAATGAACAACTCTACTAGTGTCAGGTTTATTTTTTGTACACAACAAAATGCAAACATATATTAACATTTCATTACTTATCTGAAAATTTAAATTGATAAACTTTGGAAAGTGTGAAGGGGAAAGTACCATTTCTTCATGGAGGTACAAAATTCCAAACTCACGTGTTAGTGCTATCAATGGAGACTTATGATTGTCTATGGCAGTAAAAAAGCTAAAGTTGTAAAAAGGGGCGCTTAGTATGCGAAAAAAACAACAAATATATACATATTAATTTAAAATCAAATAAATATCCAAAAATATTGTATCTTAAAACTGCACATAATAAAATTCTTAAATGATTTAATGTGAATTAAAAAAGTCACTAAATAGCAGCGTATTACATACATATCTTATTATCAGATATAATAATTTATATTTGCATATCAATGAGTCTCTATAAAACAAACAAAAAGCATGTTTCTATATAATGCCGTATGACTTTCTTACGGACCAAGGTATAACGTAAAGAACCGTCAGCACAGTTTCGACTTTGTTGCCCAATACTTTGTCTTTAAAGCTAATGTTAATATTTGTATATCTAGAACCTATTAAGGCTAATGCTTTCTGTTGGTCGTGTTTTTGTGTAACAATCTTTAAATTGACAGTTTTATAATCTACAGAATAATTTATATATTCTTGCTTAGTCTTATCTCAAAAAGCAAATTAAATTTTAGTTTTTAAATCGTGTAGGAAAAATATTGAGCCACTGGCATATTCATACCTTTATGGGGTTGTGTTCCCATTTTTGCTTAATGACAATGGTTAGCCTTCAGGGTGAATGTGTGAAGTAGAACATATTGTAACTTGGTGGCCCATAATATGTAGCATGTTTCTGTGGCGTTGGAGTGCTGGCCAATTCATTTGTTGTTGTTTCAGCACTAGCATGTCTGTATGTTTGCATAATGCATTGCAACATCAATTGGCCTGAAAGGGCTAGTCGTATGGGCTGATATGTTTTGGTAAATGTTTTTGTCTCTCACTCAGCCTTTCACTTTGAGATGGCATTCCTCATAGTCGTTTATGGGCACATCACCATGCTGTGGACCTCTATATTGCTCTTACCACTAAGATTAATTTATAAATTAACTGCTCACTCGACATCTGATATCCATTTTCTATGATAACAGCAGTAGAATGGTCTCTAATTCCTCTCAAAATCTTATTTATGTGTTCCTCCCACATGACGATGTAAATAAATGCTAAATGATGTGGCACAGTCCCCTTTGAGCCAAATAAAGGGGTGGCCAAACACCATTTTTTTTAGACGGTCTATAACAAACTAAAAGTTACAGATGCCGGGATGAAGATAAGTAATCCATGCACAGGGTGGTAAGAAAGTAAAGTATAAGAGATATTTAAGTAAATTAATTAAGTAAATATAAATTTCTTAAACGTCTGAAATCGGGATTTCTGGTATTTGAGGTAAAGTTATTTAGTTATTTAAAGCAGAGTCATGAGTTACTTCGTCTGTTTATTCACTTTAGAGAAATATCTAGCACTGCTTAGTTTATTAGTAAGTTTATTAATACATTGTTAGGTATATAAGTATTTTTATAGCTGAGTGAGACTAAAAGGATAAATTGTAACAGGTTGATAAATAAAAAATACGTAAATTAGTTAATTATACTCACCCAGAAAGCAAGAACCAAATACAAATGTATAGGCTAAAATCAGAGAAATTCTCACGCTGTTAGTGCTAAAAAAATTTTCGATTCTGTTCGTCTCCACTGGCGTCCAGTTTTTCCAGGTACTATAATTTTCTTCAAAAATGTTATCCTCTAAATATATTATTTCTGATAGGTCTTTGATTCCTGTGTCATTTACTCCCATTTCAAACAGATCTGTTGAATATGGTGACTTTATTCTGTTAAGGAAAAACAAAGCGGGTATTTAACCCTAAGACAACAACAAAGAATGTTTTCAGTAAGCAAAACTAAGCCTATGCCAAAGCATCTCGACACTTTAGTTTTTCTCTTGTGTCCTAGGACACAAATTTAATTCGATTTTTCAAGTTTCGAAAATAATTTTTATCTTTTTAAGTTTCGGGTGCTATTTTAGAAAGTAGTTCTGAGCTCATAAGAGCTGTGTGCTCTTTTTTATATCTACAGTAATCCTCAATAATTACATTTTCTGAGTGCTAAAATGCAATAATAATAACATAAATGTAATTGATTTACACAATTTTATAGATATTTAAATAGTCTACTTATGATCCTATCCGAAGAATGAACTTCAAACTAACTGAACATTGTATATAATAAATATTTATAACTATTGAAAAATTGATGGGTATGAGGTATAAGAATGTAAAGTGGAGAATGAATCAATACATGACTCACAGATTCAATAACCTACAAAATTTGAAGGATAGAATGTATGCTATACACTTGATGAAGTAATTACAAACGAAACAAGGTAGGATGTATACAACTACCAACGTGAATATATAGATAAATTATGTGTCAATATCATAGATGAAAAACAGTAAAAAATACCATTTTTTTACATAAAAACACTATAAAATTATTTTAAGTTGTTAGTGGATCTAGGATTTGAGTAATTTATTTATTTATAGAATCCTGTGACATTTAAAACTCCCAGAATGTAGCGGTGCATAACTAGAATAAAACACATCTTCTTCCAGATATACTGAGGAAAGGGATGTTTTCAAATTATTCAGGCACGTATACATAGTAAAGCAGTTGCCTGAATACCCGAATCAGGGTTACATACCAGAGTGATCATACAAGAGAGTATGTGCTTGTCTTTCCAGGCCTTTGTATGAGCTGTGGTGTAGGCAGATACAAGAAAGGAAGTAATATCAACTTAAAACTTAATTAGAGATATCAATGACTTGAATAGACTGGGACTGTAGAATACACACTAGGTCAAACAAAAACACATTATTAACACAATACAGTGAAGAAGCATGTCACCATTCTATTCCAGCTTCCAGGATTTTTTCAAATTACAGAAGCTGATCAGTTTGTCTATTCGGTATTGTGACACTATAAAGCTTTTTCTTATCTGTGTTAGTTTTGCTTTTTTGTTGTCGTTCTTTATTTTATTCTTCAGCAAACATTTATGTTTGAATCTCACTATTTAAGTCTTGTAACTGCTGGTTACAACTTTACCTGTGAATACCACAGAATAATTGAAAAAAGAAATATTACTCTACCGAACCATTGTCTAGGATTTGTTACTGTGGTGTTTACTTGATCATGTTTGTTTGTCCCACGTTACTCTTTGTTTGATGTTAATTTTGTAAACCATGTTTGTGTTAATCAGATTAGGGTGGATTAATAATTTTAAAGTCATTTCGACCGGTTCATCCAACACAGAATTTCTCATCAAGGAAAGCTTGTCCATTTCAAACGAACGCCCCACTCTAAACAATAACACAACTTCTTTACAGCTAAGCCTATTATAAATATCCCTAGCACATTGTCAACTATACAATCTCTCTACCTCCCCTTTTTTATTTCACTAGTTTCGTAATATAATTGTTAACATTTTGTTATTTCCTGTTTAAATCCTGCTGGTTGTTGTTGTTTTAGATTGTTTGTTTTTTCTTTGTTCTTATGCTACTATAAATGTTCCAACTGAATGAATATGTGTATTTAATGCTATCGATTAATTAATACAGTCGCTGAAGATGGAATGTGAATATTCCGAAGAATAAACGTACATTACCGAAAACAAAGTGTCAAATGTTTGTTATTACCGTCGTTCTACTGATTATTATCAAATATACGAATTTTAGCAAAAACGTTTCTAAATGAATAGCTTATATTCATTAATGTATTACAATGAGGTTATGGTCCCAGTCTATACTGTTATTGTGTTTATCTCTGAAATACCACGTGAAATGAATCTGTTAACAACTACTTGGGTTAGTTTGAAGTAACTATCAGTTAAGAAGTAACGCAGTACGTGATCGCAGCAAATATTTTCACTTTAACAACTTTTAAATAAGTAATTGTACAATTTCATAAAAATAAGTTGTCATTATTGTTGCTTTTGTCCTATAACTAAAAGAAGCAAAATGAAATACACAATTACTTTAAAAACTGAGTTACCTTTTGTTAGTGATGTATCTAATATATAATGTTATAGGTAGGAGTATCATATTTATTGTGTTACACGAAGGATGTTAGCTTTTAGCATAGAGATTCACTACATCAAGGTTAAAGTTCACTTAAAATATTTGTGTTTCTAGATTTAGCTACATAAAATTGGATATAAATATATACAGCGTTATACTGATCTCAATTAAGACATTAGCTGTGTTTAAGAACGAATTATCAGAGCTGTGAGATTGGGATGGTTAAGCGATTTTGCAAGGTGGCCACTTGCATTTTGTGTGCTGTACTTTTTTGCCGACGTGGACTTTTGTTTAATACCAGAGTTCATTAGAGTAGCAAAGCCACAATGAAAACGTTATTTGTATCAATCAATTAGTAAGCGTTATGCATTATAACATAGGATATATTAATCCCTAGCTTTGTGATACAGTTTTAAGTTTGGTCATGGCTTCTTAATATTCGAGAGCTAAACAGACTCTTAGCCCTGGCTGAACATAAATAACAAAAGAACTACACGTAAGTTGTAAACTTATGCTAACCTGATACAACAGAGTTACTAAATGCAAAATTATTAGCTTTGCAATCATCGATTAAATGATAATTTTGCAAGTTTGAGCTAGCTATAACATCACAAGTTTCACTAACTAAATCTCGAGAATTGTCAAATATGAAGTCTTTACAAATATGATGAATTTCTATAAAACAACAATTATAATTTTTTTCAAATTTGATTACGTTTGATGAAATGGTTAACATAGAAACTTTACTGAATTCTATAAAAAAAAATATATATATACGGGAATTGTGTTTGCATTTTGGTTCTTCAGTTTTACGTAATACAAGATCGTTAGAACCAGTTTAGATATATTTCATGAAACTCTTTAGAGGATTTCCTGTCTATATAATAAACTTTAATTACTATGGAGTTCTATAGAGTTTGTATACAGTTGTATAGAATAATTTTATATGGGAAGGAATGCGAATTCTTCAAAACTGTTCATAAATTAATACTTACAGCTCCAGGTCTAAAACGATACATAAGAAATGTCTAAAACCTTCTTCGGCATCGTGTTCACAGACTACCATCAATAAGATTGGTTTGGCTAAAAGTGCGAGCATGTTTGGTGGGATTGTTTTCGAATAGTTTACTATTCCTTATCAGAAGAAGAACATAACTCTTTATCCTCCTGAAGATGAATAGTGAACTATTCGAAAGTGCATAAGTTTTGGGTTTCGTTTGAAAACTATTACAGCTTTTGTATGTAATCCTGTGTGCTAATTTCTTAATCAGAATCAACAAAAAGCTTTATATGTGTTATTCAAGCAGCAAGAGTTTAATATAGTTTAAATTAAAAAAATAATTATAAAACACAATTACAGCTACAAACAGGTGGAAGAGCTGAAAACTCAATAACACTTTATCAGAGGAACAAGTGAATTCGTGTCCAGAAAGAAAAAGAAAAGGAGGCTATTTCCTCAAGGCCAATCACATGAGACCACAACAAAAAAATGCCACCAGTAGCGTTCGGTATTCAACCAAAAATCACTTCTCCACGTTGACTTGGTTAAATACCTTTTGTTTTCACATCCTTTCTGTAAATTTCAGTAAAGTGTACGTTTATTTTTTAAGAATTCTATTGGTAGGAGCTGTTTTAAGAAGTTGTCTAGAATTCACGGAAAGCTAAGTAAACACAATGGGAATTGAAGTTGATCTTTCATAATTGTATTAAACGATATATGTCGTGGAAACACATAACGTGGTAGTAACTTACATATTTATACGATTGTTAATCGGTGGTAATTTACTTCTATCCCACGTATTGATTTTTCTTCTTATCATCGTTAATATTCATATGTATGGATGGGCGCAACACAACTAGTCTGTACATAATCAGCATAGAACCATGCATCAATAATTCTAAGAAATTTGATTCTTTGCGATATATTTATACCAAATAAATATCTCAGCCACCCAGTTCCGGTTCCATAGCGGATTTAGGGCGGAAAAATCAATGAAAGCTTTTATATTAACATTTAATTTCAATAACATTGATTATCTAACACTATTTACATTCTCTGCCGTCTTTTACTGACCTGGGAACTGTGCCAATACATACAGACGTTGGGATATAATCAACCTATTAAATATGAAACAAGCTACATACTTTAATAGCGAAAAACAGTGATGCAAGAGTTCTACTAGGGACGGCATTTTAAAATATTACCTAGGGCGGCAAAATACTTAAAATAAGCCCTGAATTAACGTAATATATCTACAAACTGTCAGTAATATGTGTGTGAATTGCTTGAAAAGCATACTGAAACATATGTTTGAAAGTTCTTTGTACTTATGTGTAGCAATTTTTGGAACATAAGGTTTTTACAGCAAGGAATTTTATGTTTAAAATCGAAGCTACACAATAAATTGTCCGAGTTCTTTTTACTGTCGGACTTGAGCCCGAATTTTTCTGTTTCAAGCAACTTGTCATAACTGTTTCTTTTTTCGGTAAGTGACCATCAACACGAATGTTTGTGACAATTCTTTAAAATCTATCTATTTTGCTTTTAATCACACTAGTTTATATGTGAGTTCAAAAGACGGAAAACATGACTTGGTGACATCATCTATAATAATAAAAGGGCGTGTCAGTGGGTCTGTGTGTGTGTGCGTTTGTGTGACCGTCATAGCTCCAAGAGGAAATAACCTAGAAACCTTAACTTTTGCACCCATACTAAGTGGACCCTGAGGGTGTGCACCTGGGTATTTATCTTATCCACG